AAAAAATTTTACTTAAGACATAAATGAAATACCTTGACTTGTACTGTGCTTATACTGGAGTATAGTTGTTCTGAAAAATATGGCTAAAACAATACCTATAAGAGTATATTGTTGTAACTAAAAGACTTAAGCTAGAACATAGATATTATAACCATAATACTTGCAATTTGAAAGATGAGATATATTTCTTGTTTTTTTTTGTTTGTTTCTTGTCTTTTTTTTTTTATCTTTGTTGATAATATATTTTGCCTGTTTTTAGCACACACTTCATTAAGTAGGTAATGCAGTGAATTACCTTTTGTCAATCTAGCATTATAGGCATAGTAGTTTTTTAATATTGCATAATTTTTTTGTGTTTTTAAAATGTTTTTTCTTTTTTTTCTTTTAACATACACAGAATAATATTTGTACTTACTATCACCAATAGAGCTTTTGACTTGAATATTGGACAAGGTAAAAGCCACTCGAAAATATAAAAATATAGGAAAATAGTTCATTTGTTTGTGACGAATTCACAGTTCAATGTCATTATRTACACTAAYTCATTGTTCATCATGAGAAGATTCATCATCWGAAGGATGTACAGATATTTGTCCATYAAAAGGTTGATTACATCCAACACAGTTAGGGTGATCATCATGATCAGCATCAGGTTGWGTAGRTGGTGCAGGTTGTCTAGGTGGTTTTGGAGGAGCSTTTGTGAACCTGGCAGCAAAGTGAGATACTGCATCAGTTGGTCCAGCGATGAATTTTGAAACTTTGTTGAAGCAACAACAAAAGGCAATTAAGAAGAACGAGTTGAGASCAGCAAGACTTAAAGCGATACATCCAACGATGAARGCTTTTTCWGTTTCTTGRGTTTCCTTGATAGCATCAATTTCTTTGTATATAAGTTTCATTTTTTTCTGCAGTTGGCCATCAAGGCGAACAAATGTTTTGTCTAATGCATTGATGATAGACTTGTTAAACTTTAATGGAGGAGAAATGTTTAATGATTTGTAGTGCAATTCATAAGCAGAATCCATTTTCGGTGGAATCCATGGAATATAATTCACTGATTGTTCTTGAAATATTGGTATTGAGACTTTCAGCGTTTCGGGACAATTCCCAAAGCCAGTTTTGAGTTTAGGATTTGTTTCATTACAYGGTATGTGATATATAGACAATGGTGTCATTTGCAATGTTCCTTTGGAAAGTTCAATGTTTTGAGTTGTAGTAGAGAGGTAATAACGACCTCCAAGATGATGTAAGGTATCAGAATCATCACAAGTGGTGTAAATATGATTACGGTCATAGTTCAGCTTGGTATCTGCGACCCATGGAAGACCAATCCATGAYGTATCGTTGGCATCTCGTAGGACAGAGTGAGGACAGATATGGGCATTAGGTTGTGAGAARCATGCACTTAACACATCAGCCTTTAACACAAATTGCTTACGCTTACAGGAAATTAGAACTAAATCTTGTCTAGCTAATGGACCAGTAAAACACTTATCCTTAATTKGATATTTCAATGGTACAAGTGTCTCAACAGTACACAGCGAATCTTCACTAACAATTCGAGGAACAGTGACTAAGGTAGTCAAAACCATTTGCCTTGGAGAATGAGAATATTCCGTAATTGGATTAATTAACAAAGGAAAACCCTCGTCTAAAGCTTGTACAGTTAAAGACATACCGGGCAACTTTTTAAAGTGATGTGAAACAGCAGAAATAACYGATTGTGGCAAATCGTTAAAACCAATAAGTGCACGGTTCCTCAAATGGGCAAACTGAGTGACTATATCCTGAACTTCAATTAAAAGAAGGAGTAATTTAGTGATTCTGTTCAGTGTACTGAGTTTAATCTCGTGAGTCAAAACGGATTCCAAGTCTAACTCAAAGCAGGGTGTTGGTCGCGGGGGTAATTAACTTGTCTAGATCCTGACCTGTCCAGCTCAGATCAATAGATTTGACCACCCGGATCAAATGGGAATTCATGGAAAGTCCCAAAATCGAATGGAATGCAATCAAAAGCAGAAACAATACTCTTGTTAAATGTAGGCATTGTAGAGGTCTGACGCGCAGAGACCTTACATGTTGTATAGTCTGAACTCTGATTGTGAAGTTGGTGAGACTCGTGATCGGTTTCGAAAGAAAGAATACGCTTCTCTAAATTAATAACAGTCTTAAAAAAGTCTAGGAAATCATTACCTAGAATAACATCATATGGTAAACCGTCCACAACAAGGGCGGGAAATTTATAAATTTGATTATCAATCTCAAAAGGTATATCAACTTGCCCTTGAATACTAATTTGGTTGCCTGTAACCGACCTTAATGGATTATATGGACTCGTGGTCAGCGGAAATTTGTTCAACTCTGGAACATTATTGTAAACTTGTATATCAATAACTGTATTTGTTGCACCCGTATCGCAAAGAAATATATATGACTTATTAAAAATTTTGCCCTGGACTGACAAATTCTTTGTAACATCTGTAAAATTTATTGCATT